GGTTCTATAACATAAACACAAGTTCAGTTCTCAGGCATCAAATACATAATAAGCAGAGCAACACCATAACTCCTTCCCACCTCCAGCTGTGTGACCTTGAGCAGTTCCGCAGCATAGCAAGCAAAGACAGTAAACACCTACTCAGGAAGAACTGCTGGGGGGGAATGACCAGAGCATAAGGTAACATGTAGAACAGAGCACACTACTCAATGGCAGCTTGCTGACACACTTTCATCAGGTACTTTTTAAACTCGGGAGGCAAGCGCTACAAGACGGGCTGAGTACGGCTGGGGAACGCCTGACAGACGTGCCTGTGTGAACGGCCCCTTTAATTCGTTTGTGAAACGTTTCTGGCATGTGCCTGTCTCGGGGCAAACTGCCAGTCTGAACTCAGCCTTCATTTCAGCAAAGAAGAAATATTTAGCCTGTGTCTTATCACTCCAGCTAGCTAGCTTTGAACCCTGGCTCCCCATCCCCTGCTGGTGGCCAAGGGGGACCTGTCAACCTACTCCAGCCTGAGGAGACGTCCTTCAACAGCAGTGGCTGTTCTTCTGGCAACAGGGCCATTTAAGATGAAGAACGGCACCTCAGACTGTAGGGTAGCTTCAAATCTGAATGAGTTGCATGGTAGGATACAGAGTTTTAGCGGTATTTGTAATTTTAACTGGAAGAAGAAAATCGTTGCCGTTGGCCTGCCCCTGGCAGAGGCGCAGCTGCAAGGTGACTAAAACGTGTGCACTGATAGAGAGCTGTATTCAATGTCTGTTTCAAAGAAGTCTGACCAAGTCAGTGGCAAGGAGTGCAATCTTAGTTTACTTTTGGTTAAGAGGGGTCAGGGCTTGAATAGGAGAAAGAGGTAAGAAGACAGACACCCTTGATGTAAAGGGAGCTCTGGAGGAAGAGAAAGAGGTTGCGTCAACTGTGTGTCTCTCTTTTCCAACAGAGCAGCTGAAGCTAGAGCGAGACTGCAGCGTTTACAGTTACCTCAACAGGGAGGCCCCAAGCCTGCAGGGAGTGGATGATGCTGCCAACTTCAGGGCTATTCAGGTACTGACTGGTGGCAGGGCTGGGACATGGATTATACTGTTTTGTCGTCACCTATAATCCTTCTGAGGAGTGAGCCTTCTTTAATATAGGAGAGTCAATTATCTGCACTATTCCTACTTGAATGTGGTGCGCTGCAGGGGGCGATCCTCTCACCAGTGTTGTTTAACTTCTACATGTGCCCCCTTTCTCAGTTGGTCTGGGGGTTTGGGTTGGGGTGTCATCAATTTGTGGATGGCACCCAACTCTATCTGTTATTGGATGGCTGCCCAGACGCCGCCCCAGAGATTCTGACTGGGGCATTGGAGGCCGTGGCTGGTTGGTTGCAGCAGAGCCGGTCGAAACTCAATCCAATGAAGACAAAGGTTTTGTACCTGAGTTGGGGGGCAGAGTTAGGACCTGGATGGTGTGCCACTTGTGCTGGCCCAGAAGGTGAGGAGACTGGGGGTGATCGTAGATTCCTCACTTTCTAAAGAGGCCCAAATCACCGTAGTTGCCAGGTCTGCCTTTTTCCATCTCCGGCACATTGGGCAATTGGCCCCTTACCTCTACCCCCAGGACCTGGCTACAGTGGCCCATGCAATGGTCACTTCCAGGCTTGATTACTGTAACTCGCTTCACATGGGCTTGCCCCTGAGGCTAATCTGGAAACTCCAAGTAGTCAAGGATGTGGCGGCATGCCTGCTGATGGCATCACCTGTGCGGGCATACATTCGGTTGGTATTGTGCCGCTTACTACCAGTTGAGTACCGGGTCCGTTTCAAGGTGTTGGTACTAACCTTCAAAGCCTTACGCAGCCTGGATCCAACATATCTGAAGGACTGCCTCTTCCCATATGTGCCCCACAGAGCCTTGCGCTCACAGGACCAACATTTACTGGTTACTGCCGGCCCAAAGGATGTTCGTTTAGCCTCGACCAGAGCCAGGGCTTTTCCTGCCCTGGCCCCAGCCTGGTGAAATCAGCTCCCACTGGAGATCAGGGCCCTGCAGGACCTTTTATCGTTCTGCAAGGCCTGCAAAATGGAGTTGTTCCTCCAGGCCTTCGGCTGAGGTGGCGGGCGTCCACCTCAGTTGGCCTCCTTGCTTTAGTTCCCAACCTGCTGAAAGGGCCCATCTGATTCCACCTTGTGTCCCCAACAGATTTATATTGCTGCTACCAATTTTATTGTTTATTGTTTTTATTATTTTAATCTGATTTTATTGTAACGAGTCTTTGACTCAATTTGTTGAGATCCGTCCTGAGCCCATTTGGGGAGGGCGGAATAAAAATCCCCAAAATAATGAATAAATAAATAAAGAACATCTCTCCTGCAAAAAGGAAAAATGTTCCTACTTGAGTGTGAAACCCAACATTAAAAAGATGGGGTTAAAGACAAGCATGTTTTAAACCTTTGTTTACAGAAATATGTCCATATACACAAAGATTAAAAGCATAGTTGCCAAAGTATTCTCTCCTGTCCTTTGTCCAACCTTTCCTAGGGTTGCCACTATCCAGGCAGGGCCTGGAGATCTGGAATTAAACTGATCTCCTGACTACAGTTTTCCATGACAAAATGGCTGCTTTGGAGGGTGGCCCCACTGGTTGACCTCCTGATGGCACCTGGTATTTTTGGCCACTGTGTGACAAAGTGTTGGACTGGATGGGCCACTGGCCTGATCCAACATTGGCTTCTCTTATGTTCTTATGTGGACTCTATGGTATATACTCCACTGAGATCCCTCCCTAAACCCTGCTCTTCTCAGTCTCCACTTCCCAAATATCCAGGAATTTTCCAACATGAAGTTGGCAACCCTAAGTTCACCAGTATTAAGCTGTTGGGCCATGTCAGTGAATCCAGCTGTTAAAGTTATAGAGGTCCGAAATACTTGCCCAAGTCTCTGGTTTCTTCAACTTGAAGCAATAAAATTGGGATGTACTTTTCTTCTCTCCAGTGCAGGAAATTGCAGAGGCTTTCTATCTACATCTTTTGAGTTAAATCAAATTCCTTTGCCCCAGTTACCAGTGGAATTCTTTCAATGATATATGGATAGGCTGAATATGTAAATTATTTTGATATTGGCTGCAGCTGTTGCAGATTTTTTAGATGTATATCAGTGTTAGGCATAGTGACTAATTTTTTTCAGGGTTTCAAAGCAAGCACTTCACACACACACACACACACACACACACACACACACACTAGGGCTGCCAAGTGGGGGCAGGTGGCGGGTAAACCCCCGCTTTGGAGGCCCGATTTCTGACGCTGTGGAATCGGGCCCTGGGGGAAACGCTGGGGGCAGGGTCACGGCCATACAAGGGAAAACTCTATGGTTTTCCCTTGTATGGCCATGGCCTCGCCCCCAGCGTGCCTGGTGTCCTCCTGTCACTTCCAGGTGACGCGCGTGTGCATGCACCAGACGCCGGCCAGGAGCTTCCCGCTCCCAGCGAAGATACACTTGGCAACCCTAACACACACACACCAGCATGAACAGAAATGCAGAACTCTCTGTCTGAGGCTATAAAAACTGTAGAACTCTATAAAACTCAGGAGACTGACTGAGACTTATTTATAATCCAGTTGAAATGGTAGAAAAGAAACTTCTTGCTCCATTGGGCACTATGTTGGTGAACTATGATACTGCATGAAGTAAAAGGCATACAGTTGTATGTTCCTCAGTCCCCAGACCAGTCCAACAAGTAAACAGTTGGCTTTTCTGCATTCTTATTTTTTCTTCACTTGTAAGTTCCTGTTTCTTCTGGGTTTTTTCCTGTTCTGCCCATGTTTTGCTCCCTCTAGTGGTCAATTCAACATTACGCCTCTTTATGTCCAGCATAAAAACCTGCAGTTTAAATCTGCAGGAAGATAATGCTGGACATAAGCTGGTGAATTATCAACTCAACCACTAGATGGAGCAAAAGATGTGCAGAACAGAACTGCCCCCCCCAATAGGAACTTACAACTGAGGAAGATGAGAATGCGGAAAAGCCCAGTGTCTATGTAACCTAAATGTTATCTCTAGCTAACTAGATCCTCTGCACACCCAGGTTCTGCCCTAAAAGCATCATTGCATTTCCCCTCAAGCCTCAGTTCTCTTATGCAATTCTGTGAGAGTCAGGTTGTCTAACGCTCTTCTGTGTTGCTTTCTCACAAAGGATGCCATGAAAGCCATTGGCTTTTCCTCAGCAGAGGTGACTGCAGTGCTGGAGGTGACAGCTGTCGTCCTCAAACTGGGCAATGTGCAACTGAGTGAGCAATTCCAAGCCAGTGGAGCAGAGTCATGTGGAGTCAAGAATGAGCAAGGTCAGCAGAGGAAGTCCATATCAGCGGTTAGGGTGGGGAACTCAACCCAAGCTTGGGTGCAAAACAGTTTAGGGCATAACTAGATGCAATACTGGGAGATCCATGGCTGGCTGGTACTCCCAAGCATTTTTCCCCTTTGTAAATATCTGCTGACCTGACTTGGATGGCCCAGGCTAGCCCATTCTCAGCAGATCTCGGAAGCTAAGCAGGGTCGGCCCTGGTTTGTACTTGGATGGGGGGTCACCAAGAAAGTCCGGGGTTGAAACACAAAGGCAGGCAATGACAAACCACCTCTGAATGTCTCTTGCCTTGACAACCCTATGGGGTCACTGTGTTGGATGCGACCTGATGGCACTTTCGACCAAATGGTTGCTGCATGGAGCCCCAGTTCGATTCAGGGTTCCAGTATGGAAGGAGGGGAGGTTAACCCTTTCCCAACACACTGTTGTCCAATCTGAAACCCTTATGGTGCCAGTACATTTTTCTTTTTTCCTTTTTTCCCCTTTTTTATTGATTTTCCAACTTATACACAGTAACTTTAAAGCTTATGCAGGATGACCCCATCCAAGGTCTCCTAAACAATATCACATAGCATCAATTAGCTCACATAAACATATTTTTCAAATTTACCGTATACCATATCTATCTTACATTCTTTCCTAACCATAACTTTTTCTAGCTAGCCTAACTTCCGTTTATTTCTATTTTCTTCATCCTCAACTAGTCGTATATTATTCCCTATCTATCCCAAAAAGTTTCTCCCGGTTTGTTTTGTAATAGGCCCCGGCCACACGGCAGGGGAAAATGCGCTCGAAGGCGCGGCTTTTAAAAGCCGCGCCAACGTTGATACGGCTCGGCGGGATCCCACGGATCCCCCGGCCGAGCCGCCTTTTCTCCCCGGCGCGATCAAACGCCGGAGAGAAAAGACGGCTCTAACCGGGAGCCGGCCGATCTGCGCATGTCGGAGCATGCGCAGTTCGGCTCCGGCCCGGGCTTGAGCCGGCGCAAGGGAGCGCCGGCGATCAGACGCCCGGGAAGAAGCGCCTCATCCGTTGGAACCACCGAGGTAGGTGGTTCAGTTTGAGGCGGTTCTTCCCGGGTTTGGGCCAGTTTGGAGGCGGAAGCAGAACGCTTCCCAGATGTTGTGGTGTGATCGCGCTGCTTTGATCCGCCTCCAAACTGTCCCGTTTCCGGGCCAAATCGCCTCGTGTGAACGGGGCCTATATTTACTTTATCCATTTCGGCTACATCTAGCACTTATATTTAAGTTCTTTTATGGTGGGTATATTTTTAGATTTCCAAAGTTTTGCTATTAATATTCTAGCTGCTGTTAATATATATGTAATTATACGCGTGTGCTTTTTTATTGTGTCCGGAATCATATTGAGTGAGTATGTTTCTGGTACCAACGGGATTTTAATTCTTAAGATTTTTTTCTAATATTTTATGGATTTTTTTCCAGAAGGACTGAATTTTACTACATCTCCACCAGATATGAATACTGGTGCCAGTACATTTTTCTCATGCTGAGGCCAATTGGAGCTCCAAGGTTATATTTTGTGTTGGGATGGTAGAGCAAAGGGAAAGGGTTAGAATTGCCTCTCCCCCTCCCTATACTGCAGTCCCAAGCTGAACTGGATGCCTGTGCAGCTACTGTTTACAAAGAAAAACATGCTTGGAATTTCTGACCATGGAACTCTCAGCATCGTGTCCAGTTAGGACCTCAGACATTTTGGAACTCGGAGAATCTGGTCTCCCTGCTTTATGTGGCTCCTTTCCTTAGCTTCTGATGAGGAAGCTCCCCATTGGCTTAAGATCCTCTTCTCTGCTGCCTACTACATGCAAAATCATGGTGCTGTAATAGGCTTGGATGGGAAGGCCTCCTGCAGGATACAGTTGGAATGTCACCCGCGCTGCGGAGAGAACTAGGTGAGGGAGGCATACCATCCACTTGCATTTCCCAGGTCAGCTCATGAGGGCCAAAGTAGACCATACGTATGACCCAAGCCAACTTGTAGTCACATGTGACATTGGGGAACTAGCATTTCCAAGTACTCTGGGCCCTGATACAGCTCGGTAGCATAACGGGATGGAGAGAGGGTCTTCAGACTTCTCT